GATTTTGATCAAAATCCAGCTCGATTCTAGAGAAGTGGGTAGTGAGAAGGTGAATGGTGCCTTGTCCATCATTCATCGCGTAATGGGCCTGTTGTTCTTCACAAAGGATTTACCCCAACTTACGTAAGCTTCCCTGTGTTTGCGGTGTATAGGCCAAGGAGATTTATACACTATTATAAAATTTTGTTGGTAAATCGAATTGTTTGGGTTTTTCAATCTAAAAATTTCGTGTAAACGTGAAAACCATTCCTCTATTACTTCCTTGCTGCTCAAACTTTTTTTCTGGATTTGCAATGAAAGAACATTTGCTCCATACCACAAAAATGCAAACAGGGCTACTTTTGGAGCGACAATTTTTTTTTCACAACAGATTGAGTGCTCGCTAGAAAGCTTAAGTCTTACTTATAATTTACCAGTTGGCGCCGCACGCATTGCGCGCACAGCACAGTTCTGCGGCGATATAGGATGGTGCGGCGTGAATTTTCGAATTTGGCCCAATACACTTCGAATATTTGACTTTCAAGCTGAATTCTATCCGATTGCCCCATGCTTCATCCACCGATGGCTTTTGACCTTCCCTCCTTCCTCCACCAATTGTCCGTAATCGTCAACCAATTGTCCGTTTTTCCCGGCCTCGGACTGCCTCCGGACCGATTTATGAACCTCGTGGTAAACTCCGCCTATTTCTTTGCATGTCCCACCTATCTTTTTCTTCCTCGCCAACCTCTTCCCACTTTTTACCCGATCTCTGAACTATCCTGAGCCGATTTATAATTTTGGCGGCGAATGCTTTTTGGTGTATCCTCCGCACACCATTAGAAATTCACTTCCTTTCCTTCGCCCACTTCTCTCCCGGTCTCCAGGACTTCTTGCAGCCGAGTCACAAAGTTTTGTGGAGAACTCCGCCCACTTTGGAAATGCCCCGCCCACCAACAGCAGTTGGGCTCCACTCCTCACCCACCTCTATCCACCTTTTTCCCGGTCTCCGGGACTTCTTGGAACCGAGTTATGAATTTCGTCGCAAACTCCGCCCACTTTGGTGCACGCTCTACCCACCAATAGCAGCTGTCCTCCCGTGCGTTGTCGGACTCGACCCACTCTTTTCCCGGTCTCCTGGACTTCTCGGAACTAAATTATAAGTTTAGGGCAAACTCCGCCCACGTTGGTGCACGCCCTACCCACCAATAGCAGTTGACCTCCCTTCCGTTGACGAACTCAATTCACTTTTTTCCCGGTCTCCAGGACTTCTTGGAACCGAGTTATGAATTTTCGTCGCAAACTCCGCCCACTTTGGTCATGCCCCGCCCACCGATGACAGTTGGCCTCCACTCCTCCACCCACCTCTATCCACCTTTTTCCGGCTCACTAAGACTTCTCCGGCCCGAATTATGAGGACTTGTAGAAAACGCTGTACACTTCAGAGCGCGCTCCGCCCATTGTGGGCGGCCTCCGCCCACGTCATGTATGCTGGGAACACCTTAGACATTGCTCCCCTACACCAATTTGTTTTCTGCTCTGTAGGCTTTCTCCCAACCGAGTTATGAAATTTTTCATAAAGCACTGCTTTTTTAGAGAACGCCCCGCCCACCGGGGGTGGGTCTCCCTAATTCGATGTGACTTACCAATGCACACCTTTACCCACTTTTTGGCCCAGTTTCGAGGTTGTTTTGTCACTGAAATTGAAATCTTGGTCGTCAGTACAGTTCATTTCGATGCACGCCACGCCCACTGTGGGCGGGGCTCCGCTTAGCTGATGTGTGTTTTGTACTTCGTGAGACCTTGCCCACCCATCCCACACTTGACCCGGTCCCTCCAGGCGGATCCCGAGGAGCTAGGGAATTTCGTGACAGACATACAGAACGACAGACGAAGCGCTTTATAGTAAGTAGGATCCCGCTTGCTTCAGCTTTCCATAACATTAACCATTAGTTTAAAGAAAGTTAAAAGATGAAACACGCACGCACTCAGGCACCGAGAAAGTTCGTACTACTTTTGATCGAATTGACTTTTAGAAGAGCGAAATTTTGAAGCTGTAATTCATAAGACATGCCTTTTAAAGCATGAGCTAGGATAAGAGAATTCTTAAACAAACACAAATGCATAACTGCAGAGAGCGATTTCCTCGATTCTGCAGATATGAACACGATTTTAACTGGTACGAATAGTCACCAAACCGTCTATGAAGCGATTATTAGAAAGTATCGCACAAAATGGTGGAAGGGAAGGAGAGGGGATGAAGAGCAAGGAAATTTTCAGGATCTCTAACAACTGGAAGAGATGAATACGTTCAGGATGTTATTCAGTACTAGAAACCATGAACCTCTCGTGCCAGATTGGTAACAGATTTTGCAATCAGTAAAAGAAGGGTCTCTCTGATTTCACACTCGAACTGAGGACGTCGTTGTAGAAATGGAATGGCACCACATGATTTATGCGCATGCTGCATTCAGAAATATGGCTAACATTTGGTAATAACGTGTAAAAAATAGCATCCTAAATCAGTGATCACAAATAATTATGTGTAGAACAAAACGAAAAATTAAAACATCAAAACTAGATGAATGAATGACCAGTTAACAATAAGGGTTCGGCTAGACATAATATCCTCTCTGTGATCGCGACCTATCAATTTACGTATAACGATCAGCCTCCAAGTGGATATTTTGCAACGCCATAATCATCACATTTAAAATAGCCGGACAGCCGTTACTCCCTCTGGCAAAGGCAATAGATGATGTAAAAACATGAATAAGACGATGAAAGGTAAAATGACATTAAGATAGTACTAATATTTCCGGCTGATAAGACATTCACGTGAGAGTTAATCGAGCAATAGAGCTGGGCGAGAAGAAACGAGAAACGAAGACAACTGACTGGAAAGACAAAACCGGGATTCAACAAGCGCACAGTCGGATCCAGTCACTGCCTACTTGTCAGGATGGGTCAATTTATGCTCCTTATTGGGCGGCATGAAAAGGCGAGACACAGACGGGCTGTCACGAATCGTTGCAATTTTTTCGAAAGAGGTGAACATTATCAACAAGGAAGAATAACTCATGAAATAGCCGATTAAGCCAAACTCGAACCCCACACGATGTCGAAGGCGTTCAGAGTTAAGCCTCCCCACCGCTTGATATGATCACGTTTAGTAGGTTTCTGGGTTAGTCGAATTTCGCTCGAGTTACTTCCAACTTTTACTCATTACTCAATACATGGTTGAAAATCGCAGAATGATTTCTAGTCGCATAATTTGTTAACTGTGCCTGGTTTTGGAGAAATAAGGAGGGGAGGAAGGGGAAGAGGGGTCGTGCGCTGCGACAGTTGTTGCCGACTACAGGAATCGCAATTTTACAGGGGAGGAAACTCCTCGCTTGCAAAAACCACTTCGCTTCCGCTTTTGTACCCACCTCGGAGAATTCCCTTGCGGAAAATTGATACTTTGAACCATATAAACTGTCGCAGCACATCCCCCTTCACCGGGTGAGACCCCCCCCCAATCAAAACATTTTTTTCTTTAGATTTCGCGACCGACAATGTTGTTGGAAAGAGGGAACTCCCACAAATTCCGCTATATCTCTTCTCTTCTCCGCTATTTCAACTGGTGTTATTACAAATCCAAAAGAATTGTTTCAAAGCCACTCATAGCGCACTCGCGTTGTAGCGATCAGACAATAAGGCAAAGCATAATTTCACATCTTTCCCTTCAACTGACCGGACCTATGACCGGATCCGACTTGGAAAATTTTACGAAATAAATATAGAAATGATACAGCGTAGAAATAGAACATGTTAAAAGAATTCTTCAATGAGTGACTTTTCTCCAATTCTCGAGAGCACCTATATATCAATCATGTGACAAATAAAGCTCACCAACTCCTACTCATGAAGCGTGAAAAAAGAGCAGAATCCAGGAGAAATGCTCGAAACGCAGTCTATAGGACTCATATTTTGTTTCAATGATACATGCTAGTGTTGAATACGCTTACGACGCAAAGCGTTTAACAACCTGTTCCTGCCAAATATGAGTGAATTTGCTAACTATTCCTAATCCACGGTCTACACCACGGTTGCTGCTGATGCCACGATATAGTATCAAACCCAAACGCTGAGAACTGGCAGTATTCGTGGAAAGATCGAGCATCGCGTAGGAGCAACGCCATCTGCGAAAAACGTTGCTTTCCTATAGGCTTAGGCCATTGCATTTGGTAAACTACCCATTGCAAACATAAACGACTAGTATCGAATGAAAACTCTAGAGAATCTTGATTAAGTGGCTAATTACCAGGACGATGTCATAAGTGTGGATGAGGCTGAGATGTTGGGGGAGGTGTCTGACGAAAGACATACGGTGAGAAATGCCGCGTCAGTATCGGCATTCCTGGCACTAACGGCATCATCGCCGGAGGTGGCATCAAACCTGGTGGCAGATTTGGAAAATGCTCGACGCCAGTCGGACGCGGACCAATCGCTGTTGCTGCCATTGCCACAGCAGAACAATTTGGGCATGTACTGTCATGAACTCCGCCGCCAAAATCCAACCGGAACACACCTAAAAATTTTGGGTGGTTGATGGACAATTTGTTTATCGAACTGAGGAAAGCAGAAAATGAAACAATAGTGTTTCAACGAATAGTGATTTCTGAAGTTATGCGTTCTCAACCCTGACCTATAAACATTACCGTCTTCATGGTAATACAATAGAAGTTGTTTTGCCAAACGGCCTCTTCAGTCCCGAGCAATCGCTCTCAAGAAAGAAAATTTTATTTTGCATTGAAGCCGAAAAATTGTCGTGCTTACGGCAACTGCTCTGAATAATCCGTAATCCTCTGTCCTGTATATTCAGCAAAACTGAACTTCTTTCCCAGGACTATTCTACAGCCTCTTGCCATAAACATACAGCTGAGACTGAGTTGCGGGGTAGGTCCTACTGCTTTCGTCGCCCTCCTTTGGTACTGATGCTGCGAGCCCCTACGTATCCAAAGAAAAGCGAAATCGAACAAGCACGAAATCAATACAAATTCCTACCATCTTTTTGCAATGGAGTTTCTTTGGTGCACTGGACGAAGGCATGCGGACCAGCACAGTTACTGCATGATGGGAATTGCACCTGAATACGAGTTGATAAACAATTTGTTAGCAATTATTGGTTTTAGAAGAAAAGTTAAAGAAAGTTCGTAATGAATAGTTGCAATGAAAACATGAAAAAGTTCAAACCAAAGTAATATTCCTGTAGTACAATTTCAGGCAAAAAAGTTCATGCAATCGAACAAAAACGAATCCTTTCTAAACAGATAAAACATGCAGTTACGCGCAAGGGATTGTGGGTAAAAAAACAACGACTAATACTTCACACATGAGCCGCATTCCGGCGTGCTCATGGTCTGCCAGCAGTCAGTGGGTTGGTCGCACAGTACTTCATCTGATTCCGTTGCAGCATCATTACTTTCACTGCTATTATTAATATTCCAATCCCCAAATCTAGCCAACCACGGCAAAACAGCGCCAGAACACGGCCTCAGGAAAATCTAAATGAGGTACTCATTTCGTGGATACCTGAGCCTGAGGAATTTTTTCCGGAGCTTGAACTTCGTCGTTCGGTTCCGAATTTGATTCCTGTAATGGGACAACAGTGTGAACAAGATGCAGGCATATAGTGGGCAAACTAAAAGTTTAGGTGGTTATAGAGGGAGGTCTAATCATGGCTGAATCGCTTCAAAGCGATTCAGCTGGTGAGCTAGCTTTTACAAACACTCGTGACACCAAGGATGCAATATTCTTATTGCGCGTCATGCAATTATTCTTCACAAACTTCTGCGCCATATAAACTTCAAAGCCGACGGAAACAAGGGAATGCAACGTTCAACAAAAATAATTCGGTTGAGCAGGTACCTGAATCCCCATTCCACGAGAACTGTACGACAATGCCGCCGACGCGACGGGGAATGTTGGTGGAGCAGACGCTGGATAAGCGTATCGCTGCAGTGGAGGTGAAGCCGTTCGCATAGGACGCTCTGCTACCTTAAAAAAAGAAAATATGGGAAATAATAAGGTACTTCAAAAATTTTTACCGTTTTTCAACCCTGAACTCTATATGCATGTATCTTGGCTTACCCAGAACATTTAGAATTGAAAAGAAAACCTTTAGAACTTGCAAACCACTCAGAATTGAACACTTCTTACTTGAGATAGCCTGAAGTGCTGGAGGTCTAGAGGCCATGAACTCGGCGAAGGTCGTTTCAAAACATATTGGGTTTCGAAGCACTCCTCTTCAAAGGAGCCATAGAAATTTTCCAGAAAACGACACTGGATAGGTGAAAAGTCAACTGAGTCAAATGATCAGCATCATTTCGTAGTCCAGCTGATTCAACTTGTGTAGGGTTGGCTGTACAAGATAACGTACAGACATCCCTGCCAGTTGTCTTGTGCGTCCCAGACAACTGTCAAGCATGTATCGGTCCCCTTATGGTGGGAATTCTAGGCTCATGTATGAATTATGTGGCGCTTATGGAGAACTGACCTTATGAAAGCCACCATAACCTCGCTTTAGTACAATTTAAATTTTGCAAATTTCAGCAAACCACTCAGCAAATCTTCTAAAGCTGCAGCAACGATTCCGCTCCACATTGCATTCATTTTCATAATGCAAAACAAGAAAAAAAGAGGAAAAGCACACCTTAAATAAATGACTTGCCGCGGCACGTCCTCACCAATTTTTGGACCTATGGCTGGGAACCAGAAATAAATTACGTACAGGTAGGACGGAACCTTATCAATATCCTGTGCATGATTATTCCAACCGAATTTTGGCTAATCGTTGGCAATGTCAGATATCCAGCCTCATTTTCAAGACTATCGCTTTGGTTTTAAGAACCTTTGAACAATGATTTCGAACATATTTCTACGAACTTAAATCGAGTGCATCTTTAAAATCTAACCCGCTTCCTCTTCACAAGCCTATGTGGCTAGAAAACAAAAACCATGCAAATCTGCCCATTGAGTATATCGTATTCAGAACTCCGAAAAAGGTATAAGAAGAATTTCGATTAAATATGACATAACTATAGATAGGGCAAGAATGTATTCAAAAAGGTGAAAGTTCACTCGAAATTGAATTGAAATAAAGCATTCACAAGTGAAGTGTCAGAAAGACGGAACCCTTTGAAAGATCTAATACTAGACAAAAAAGCCTCTCAACGAACTTGCTTTCTATGCAAACAATTGGAAAAATGCAAAAGTTATAATATTTCAGCAGGTTTCGTTATCTACGGACGGCCCACGCTCTAGAGGATGACTCTGTTGGAATCAACTACATGTAAATCGTTCTAAAACATCTTTTTTGTAACTCTAGAGCTTTTGAAAAGGAAGACTACCTGCATACATGCGCACTAGCAGCGCATGTTTTGTAATTCATTAAGAATTGAGGGAAGCCATTAACCACCTGTATCACCTGCTGTCGCCCTAATGATCGTCGAATTTCTCGAGCAGGCTTCGGCCTTTCTCCATTCGTGTCTCTCGCATGCCACAGTGCTTCACTGGATTATCTCACGAAAGAGACACGGACTTTCTAATCACATTCGCGGAGGAGTCCGCCCATCAGCGATGGCAATAGCGGCCGCCTGACACCCCAAAGTATCCCTCGGCACCCACTCTGCCAACAGTCACCACAGTATCGCTTGACTTGTCACATGTGCACATATCCTTGGCGAATGCACCAGCGTCCGTGACCGTCAACCATCAGAGTTCGAAAGTGTTGATTCCTCTCCAGCTTGTGTGTGTCAGGTGACTTCAAATACCGCTCTCACCGCAGCGCGTTCGACGGCGCTGATCGCATGCACATCCTGCCTGTACGGAATCCAACTCTCTGAGACATCCATCAAGGCAGGGAGGAGCGCAAATTGGAGAGGTGAACGCAGATGTTCTTTGTCACATGTTGCTTATTTCATTTTCAATTTGCTTCTGTTTACGGCCAATAAGTGCTGAACACCTTGGAACATATTTTAATAGCGAAAAAAACACCTCAAGTTCCTCGGAGCTTAGCCGTGAAGCGAAGAACTGCTCATAAATAACTGAGCTAAGCATCATTCGTGCTGGCAGGTCCGACAAAGCATTGATGTACTGTATAACAGCAGCAGGTGAGCAATCCATTGAGAAGTACGGTAATATCCGCAATGCCGATGGTCCTGAAATGTATTAATGATGACTTTCTTACATCAAGTTATAGAAAGAAACGAGCAAAAGAGAAACGCAACAAAATACCTAAAGCGGGTGTAGGGGTGGCATTAGAATCAGTTGCTGTGGGAGAAGGGGTTCGCGAAGATGACGCAGATTCCGGCCGATCTGTCTCTGCATCTTGGGTCTGCTTCATTTCTCGACGTTCTTCACCGAACATATCCAGAAGACGATGATGCAACGTGTTAATATCGTTCCGAGTACGACCAACAAACGTACGCTCGCCATCGCTCCAAATCATCTAAGAACGTGAGAAAGTTAGCCACGATAGAAAATTTCGAAAAATATAAAACTCACTTCAACGAGAAAATTATCTGGATCATTAGGATCAGGCTGAGTGGCATGAAATCGGCGAACGAAGGCGAATCCACCACTCAAAGGCGATACTCTACAGACTGTTGATGTGGACTTCTGGTCGTTGGATGTGGAAGAAGGAATTACAGGCGGATTCAATCGAGATGCGATTTGCTCCAATTTTCTTCTTATTTCATCACGAGCGTGAACCATACGAATTCGCTGATCAACAGAAAAGGCTGGGTGATGAATTGATGCGGATACTAAATAGCCATATCTCGATACATTTAACCACATAGTATACTCAGAACCTCTCAATTTTGAATGACTTGTTGTTGATAGTGTTAGCAGTTGATCGAAAAGAAAATATGTATCTCGCATTACAGCAAACTATGGTCTTTTAAAAAATACTCTGAGAAATCCAGACACCGCCCCAACCACGTTCTGACTGCACCCCTTGCGCGCTCAGCCATGAAATGCATTCACACGGCTGGCTGCCCCTATCCATCCGGTCAAATAGAATCTCTTTTTCGAGCTCTCACACACATTTCGATCTTGTGCCAGGTACTCGTATTTTCATTCCTATCATGAAGCTTCAATGAGCAGCTCGTTGACCTGTAGCTCGATCTTCGAAAGCTATGAAACATTTGGCAACTACTGGAAGAGTAAGCACTCTATGGCTACACGGATACAACCAATAAAAAACATAACGGTATAAAGACAGTTTGAGATGATGCAATCATTTACCCTCCCTTCAAAAAGCGAGAAAGTGTCGGGTGCAGACCATGCACCACAAGTGACGACGGCCTTCACAAAATGTTAATGTTTTCTGCCAATGAAATGATTAGCCTGTTGCAGTTGTATTCTATCGATTGTCACTTACAACTATCATTTACCAGAAATCAGCTATCACTATGAACAACTTCTAACCAGATTTACTTGGAGGCCGTCGTCAGTTGTGGTGTTTGGTCTGCACCCGACACTTTCTCGCTTTTTGAAGGAGATGTTACAAAAGCACGACTTGAACGTTGCCATGCATAGAAACAAAGATGGGCAAGTTATTTCAGGAGAAAGTAAGGCACATAGAAATTACCCTAAAGATTTAAGATGAGCGCAGAGCCGGCAAATGGCCGAAAATACACGTCGGGCTCTCTCAAAAACCAACTAATTTAATGGTCAGTGCTAGCCCAAGCGATGTAGAATGAAATCAAAAAAAAGCAACTGTAAAAAGAAAAAGGAGCGGGAAAAAGAATTAACGACAACCGAGCACGCACATTACCGCCTTTTTTCGTACTTCAATAAATCTTCACACGACTCCAACCAAGCACATAAATTAGACTACTGCCGCTACCACCCCTTCATCAAAGTGTTCATATATGTTAAATGAATGCGTCTTTGCTTGGTTTGGATTTTGTCCAAGAGCATTATTACGATACTATAATAGAAGATCCAAAACGTGAAAAAGGAAAAAAGCCGGAAAAAATCACCAAGTTTTCCAAGATTGATTAACACATCCTTGCGAGCTTCATCACTTGACAACAGCTCCAATTCCATTTCTCGTATCGTCATCAGATGATCCACCAAACGAATAAGAGCGTGAGCTCCCTGACGATTTGCCGAATTTAGCAGGCAGACAACATTGTATGCGGCCTCCACTTTCAGTGCATACGGAACTTGACTCCTGAACTTGCATCTACATGAAAATTCAGAAACCTTGATAATTGAAAATCGAAAAGGAACTACAGGAAAAAAAATACATTTCTGTTGCCATCGTACTGATGAACTGAGGGCAGTTTGATCGAGTTTCGTGTTGTCGCATCGTAGGTGTCGATGACGCTGGTCGAGCTGCTCCCTCAACGCACGCGCCCAATAAACGGAGCTCATACACGTTCAGAAACGAAACCAATTCACATATCGTATCCACGCGATCCCACGATGACATCTGAGTAGAAGAACAATTCATCAGCTAAGGCTTTTCAGAGCATTACATTATCCACATTAGGGTGCGGTCGTGCTTTGCGACGAACTTGAATTTCGCTTGTCGTTCGATTACAAAGAAGATAATTACTGCTCATGGGGTCACACGACCGCAACCGCATGATCGATACGTATACACTCTACACTCAAACTGTAAGACGGTCGCAAAGTATGACCGCATTGTTACCCAAGAAGGTGCACTTCCAGATAGAGAACCATTTTATAGGGGAATTGCAAATATTCTACTATCGCGGCCCTAGAACCAGAACTGTCATGGTTTTACAAATCCCACACCAAGCAGCCACGACCACCTATACTAGACGATCTAGAGAAACATAAAAGGTAAATCACAAGAAATTAAAATGTTACATTGTTTGGAGAGGCTTTGTTTTTTGTTGCCGTTTAACCTCGACCAAGTTTACGGAAAAAAGAGGGAAGATAACCAGTTAGCAAGTTAAAAAACCATTTGCATAGGAAGAAAAAAGAAGCACTCACAGAAAGCACATTAAGTAACCCGTCGCCGTTACCGCTGGAGGACTCCGTTTGTGATGCAGCACCGCTTACAGAGGTGTAGCCCTCAGATGCGGCACCTCCCACTGCTTCGGATGAGGAACAACAAGGATAAGTGTCCTCTGGTGTGCGTACAGCACACTCATCGCTGTAACAATGATCATAAAGATGGTCTAAAGTCTGTTGAAGAATAGAATTGTATCCTACCTGCAATAGTCTACTTGAGAAGTGAGCGAGTACGACTGTGACATATCACGGGCTAGTTCTCTTTCGACTGCCTTATTATTTTTACACCGGCTGTGAGCAGCATCTCGATCTCCACCAGAGGATGACATCGTATTGCGTCTGGACGAATCTGATGAGAGCGACTCCACATCACTACTCTCAGTTTGTGAGCTAGCAGCCTAAAACGGAGGAAATGGAACACATTACGAAACATTCGGAACATTTAGAATCAAATTTGATATTTTCCAAAATTCCGAAATTTGATAATGACTGATCTTCCCTACAACAACCTCACTGGTACTTCCTTGAACTGATTGGCTCAATTAAATAATCGACCTTCTTGATACATGATAAGATAATTTACTCCGAGTTCCAGAATACATAATATGGAGGTTCATAAAATATCTACACTATGTGCTCCAATGAATGCCTACACCTACGCTTCCCTTCCCATTCTTTAGATAACATATAACACCAGCACTTCAAACTAAGGGACTGATGATACTCGGCAATTTGGTTTGCACTTCGAGGGTGGAATAGATACGTATCGACCATGCCATTGCAATATGGCAGAGTCGCAAAGTCAATACTTATCTACCTCAAGCTATGAGTGCAAACCAAACTGGAAAGAATGACCGAACTAAAAGAATAGTACTTAAAGCAAAACAGAGGATTTCTGTTGTGAGAAAAGTGGTAATAAAAAAGTATGAACTATGGATCAGCTCTAGAGCTCTATTTAGCCCTTCAAGAAACAGCCACAATAAACATTAATAAAACCGGCTCTACTCAATAATAAGGGAGAAGGGGTGAAACACTTGGTGCGATAGATCGTGTCGCCTATAGTAACTTTCACTTTGTAAAGAAGGAAATCTGCGCGTGCGTGGAGCAACTCTCTTCCGCTTTCATAACTATTACGATGCTT